TGGTAAGGGGGGAAATCCAACATTAGAAATTATGTTTGGTCTGGACATTTCCCCCCCTATAAATAAATACAAAATAAATAAATACAGGTTATTGGCTAGTGTGGAATAAAATTAGTTTACCGTGCTGTCAACACACCAGCTTTCTGAGTGAATCAGTCTGGAGAGAACGGATTAGTTCCACACTGAGTAAAATTTACTATCAAAGAGGGCTGTGGGGGGAGAAGCCCAGTGCCCTTTCTCACTGATGTATTATAATCAGATTCACAGACTGATGGAAACTAAATAATTCAAGCCCTAACCACCTCAATCAAGACTTAAGAATGATTAAGGTAAGAGTCTGAGGATATAAGCAGAAATCTGGTGCAGGATTTTATTTTATTTTTATATACTGTATATAAAACCACTGGGACCAATTGCCAGTTTATTATTCAAAATTTATTAGCCTTCCAACTCCAGCGGATTCTGGGTGGCATCCAAAACTAGAGGGAGAAAAAAAAAACCCCAGCTGAAAACATTCAATCAGATTTAATAACTGTAAACGCTGCTAACAGATTTCTTGCTGAGCTCGACACAACTACATTAACACTGAAATGCATTTCCTGGGTGGAAATAATGCTTCTGGATGCCTGACACCCCTGGATGATTATTCCGTTTGATTTCATCAATGCGTACGTTGTTATTGACTAGCCGATAACTCAGCGTTGCTCGGGTATTTATTTATAGGGGGGAAACATCCGGACCAAACATAATTGCTAATGTTGGATTTTTCCCCTTACCAGAGTAACAGTAACTCCTGGTGGTGTACTGTGAAGCTGTTACCATGGCAACTCCACTGCGCTGTACAATAGAAGCCATTTTACGGCAGTACAGTAGAAGCCATTTAAAGGCACAACAGGCTGCGTCTTAACAGAACACACACACTCTGAGGGGTCTTAGGGGTGTCTTACCCCCACATTATTTGTCTCCAGAGAGTAAGTCACCTGTGTATTATATTTGGTTGAAATTGCTCAAGGCGTTTCAGAGTTATGCTGGAACATACACACAGAGTTATACTGGAACACATACATACATACATATGTATGTATATACATATATATACATACATACATACATACATACATACATACATACATACACAAAAGAAAGGAAGAAGATAGAAGATAGGAGGAGGAAGAAGAAGAAAGAAAGAAAAAGGAGGAAGAAGGAAGGAAGAAGAAAGGAGGAGGAGGAGGGAGAGAGGGAGGAAGGAAGGAGGGAGGGAGAAGAAGAAGATAGAAGACAGATATTGCAGGTCAAAGGACTCCTGCTGGGTGAGAAAAACAGCCCTGTCCAACTACCGTAGTTTTCAGACTATAATACGAACCTTTTTGCCTCAAAAGAGGCTGAAAATCTGGGGGCGTCTTATACACTGAATACAGCATTTTTGCATCCCGAAACCCCGCCCCTTCACCAAAACGGCAGTGCAAAGCCTTTAGGAAGCTTTCAAAGTGCTCCTGTGGGCTGGGAAGGGCAGAAATGAGCGAAAAACAGGCTGCTTTTTGCTCAATTTTGCCCCCACCCCAGCCCCCATGAGCACTCTATAAGCCTCCTAAAGGGTTTGCACTGCCATTTTGGTGAAGGGGCGGGGTTTCGGGATGCAAAAATGCTGTATTCAGTGTATAAGACGCCCCTAGATTTTCAGCCTCTTTTGAGGCAAAAAGGTGCGTATTATAGTCTGAAAACTATGGTAATTTGGAGAGGGTTGTTTTTCTCCCCCAGCAGGACTCCTCTGACCTGCAATATCTGTCTGTCTGTCTTCTATCTTCTTCTCCCTCCCTCCCTCCTCCTTCTTCTTTCT